TACATTGTCGGGGGAAAATAGAGTCTGTATTACTTGTATAAGAAGCAAAAATAAAGAAGCACATGAATGAAGGCCAATGCTGCAGATTCTATGTCTGCCTATGGGAAACATATGAATACTAAGGATAATATAACCTCTTCCAATAAATTTTCCTTCCCATCCATCACAAAATTTCCAAACACCCACTACCAAGAATCATGTCTGCTACATATGATAACATTTGGGTTATTAATTTAGGTGCCACAACGCCAAACTGCAACAGGTTTGACCATTAAACAATTTTTGCTATTCTCTACCTTTGACTCTTTTGTTTCCCTTTTACTCAAAGATTTATTGCATGTTCCATTAATCATTAAAAGTCTCATACTATCATTAGTAAACTGCCAAATTCACTTTATTTTTTTATTTTCATTCTTCCCTTGTTTTGTCAAATCTTTTAGAGAAACATAGACATGTGCTTGTGCTACTTCAATCAATTTAATCTTCAACACCTGAATTCCACCTCTAATTTTCTGCAGTAATTTTGCAAATTCTGTAAATAAATTGTTAGTTTCATTGATTTCTGTCATGCAAGCTGTTATGGCAAATGTCATGTTTTAAGTATCAGCTGCATCTTACCACAATTTGCCCTAAACTCCCAGAACTCATCTACACTGGCTTATGTGTACCAATGTTTGTTAGAAGATAATTCTTAGCTTTTTTACTAATAAAAAACAATGAAGTATAGCATCCTAAAAATAAAGAATATTCCTCTTGATTACACTGAAAAACAGAAAGTGAATATAGTCACAAAATGCAATACAGGTTTCACATATATACTTGGGGCTTGTAATAATGATCTTGTTTGGTCGATTGAATAAATTTTTTTTATAAACAGTTAGAGATAATAAAAAAAAAGTAAAATACATTAATTTTTTCCATATGTCATAAGCTAAAATCAACTTATGCCACCTTAGTTTTTAGAGAAGTTACATTTAATCCAATAAAAAAACTACATTTCATTACATATATGATAATTATTTTGTTAAAAGGCACACCAGCAATGTTTCTTTATTGGCTAATGGTGAAATTTTTTTTATACAATTAATACACAAAAATTAAACCATTAACATTATGCAAATAAATAATTTAGAGAAATGTTGTTGTATATTTTTATAATTAAAAATCACATGTTTTGTTAAGTCTCACTTCAAGATTAATAAATTTCTATCTTGATTTTATAGTTTTTAATAATTTATTATTATTGATAAAGTGTACTAGTAGCAATTCTATTTGTAAAAAGATTTCAGCAAATAATGATAATAACAATGCTTTATCTTTGTCAGTGCCACAAAGCCGTAATCCTATAGACACATTAGGCAAAGATAAATAATAAATAAATGAGATATATTTTGGATTGAGAAAAAAAAATTTTTAAAAAAAGAGGGGAATTTGGTGGTGGAAATGACATGCGAAAGGATTAAACATATGTAAGGTTTGTAAAAGAAATATATTTAAGCATAATATTAAGAAGGAGTTGTGTATATAAAATGTTTTAACATTTAATGTTATAAATATAAAGTTTTTTTCATTTACAATATAAATAAATATGTTACATACCACATTTCATTTAGCCTTATTGTAAATTTTTCAGCAGGTCAAACTTCTCTCGAATTAGAACAAAGATGGACATTAGAGAACAACATAATTGTGTAAAAAATTGTTCCTATTGTGACACTCTTGATCACGCCTTACTGTAAATCTCCCAGTGAGTCATGCGAGCAAGGAATATGAACTTTCTGAAACTTGCTGCAATCATACCACAGTTCATATAGTCTTATTGTAAATTTCTCAGCGAGTCAAACTTCTCTCGGATGTTGCGTTTCTTTCAACTTTGTGGCCAAATCTAGAACACAAAAGAACTTTCAAGGGTCGGCCAAAGTCCAGCAGGATTAGAACAGAGATGGACATTAAAGAATAACATAATTGTGTAAAAAATTGCTCCTATTGTCACACTCCTGGTCACGCCACCATTGATCTTTATTATTGTAATGAATTTTAATAAATTTATTTAGTCATATTTATAATGTTAATATTCAATAAATTTAATCACTTAATAGTAGTATCTGAATTTTGGTATTTGATAAGTAAAAATCGGGAAAAAAAAGCCTGAATCTGTAGGCCAGAACGGCCCATTTTGATTCCATTTTTTATGTGCATTTTTTGAATTCAGAACGGCCCATTTTGATTCATTCATCATGTTTTATTTTTTAATCTGGAACGGCCCTTTCTAAAATCAAAACAGCCCGTTCTGGAATGTAAACAGTAAAAAGTGCTAGTTAGAGAAATAAATTTACATTATTACTATTTGAGTAAATATTTTTTAAAATAATATTATTTGAGTAAAAAATTAACATTCAGCATAAATAAAAACTTTAAGAAATGTGTAGGATACAATCATTGATTGCATAAACCTGTTTCAATTGACGGAAAATACAATAGGCAGGTAATAAACAAAAATAAAAATGAAAAAATAAATTATAATTCATCTTTTCATAAATTTCATTGAACCTGCTATTCATTCCATGTTATTCGTGCAGCTTTCATCAGCATCATTTATCAATTTGGGGAAAAAAATTAAACTCTCTTGTGAAAACAAAATTTTGCTGAAAAGAAACATATTATTCTTAAAAGTTTAAGCAATAATTAAATATATTTTACAAAATTCCCTAAAAAAATTATACTTTTAGATATCTTATTTTAAAAAAAGAAAAAGTTGAAGAAAAAAAAATCTTATACCAAACAATACGTAACAATAAACATATCATTTGAAAGTTTATAATTTTACAGTTTCAACATTAACACTATGATGTTAAGTCCCTGTTGTCGACAATAACAATTATTTTGCTGACTTGACTCAAACAATTCCCTATATGAAAAGTTTATAATTATATTGATGTGAGATTACTAATCATTTCTTACAAACTATATCTTATTGTGATAAAATATTATTTTATGAATGTGATCAAATAATTTTATAACCGGATCAAATGTCATCTTTTGCACTGAACACGGGATGATAATATTTTCTTTTCTTTTCTTTCGAATGATGATGTGTTTATCATTACGTATTGTTTGGTATAAAAACACACACTTATCCCAATTGTAAAACATAGAATTATAAACTATGATGTGAAATTAGTGAAAAAATACTATCAATATTTTTTTTTATATAATACTAATTCAAATGATTTGATTATTATGATATTACTAATGAGATCAAGTATACAAAATTGTATTTAATTATAAAATTATTTGATAGTTCGTTAATCAATTTATTTTAACAAATAAAATAATATTCAAAATATATGTAAATATTTATTATTAGATAACATATTTAAAAGAGTTTAAATCATTTAAATTTGATATGTATAATTATGAAGGTATTATCATCAAATAAACCAGTTAGATCAATTAAATTTATATTCTATAAAAAATTATTATAGCATTATTAAGTGATATAATAACTATAAAAATTTTACCCATGTAATTTGATCCCCTATATATATTTATTTATTGTTGTCGAGATTAATGAGTCAGGAGGTGTTTTATTCATTGAAAAAATTTATTTGATGTCAACATTAGACAACTAGGCTTAGGCAAATGCACAATCAAGATTGGACCTAACTTTTTTTGATTTGGACAACCCATTCATCCTAACTCAAACTTCATGCAGTTGCATACTCACCTATATATTTGTTGAGACCAATTAATGTGATGTGTCATTGGGCCAAACCCAACTCTTCTTCATCCACACTTACAACTCCATCAACTTGTTCTCTATCTCATTATTCCAATTCATTGTTTTGGTATTCATTATATCTCTTCTTCGTGGGGAAGTGAAAACATTTCTACCTGATTTGGGTAGGATTTCTATCAATTTTTTTTTTGGAACATTTAACACAACTGTGTATTAAAACTTAAATCTCAAATTCAGGCTATTAGTTAAGATAAAGCAACTTTGTATTAATTGATCTGCACGCTATATATGATAATTATTCAAATTCGTTATCCTCTCTTGAACATGTGACACACCTCTCTTCTGTTATATGCATCATCAAGATTCACGAAAAATTTTGCTTTAGGGCAAGAATTATATATAATCTTTTACAGGTCTTTAATATTTTTTCTAATCAAAATTAAAATTTTATTACAAATAACATATGCTAATATTTATTTTATTTTTTCAATACACAAATTACTGATGTAACAGTTAATTATGATTAGAAAATAATACCTAAAAAAAACACCTAAAAACTACTTATACTTATTCTCAATCATGATCTAGGCCGAACATTGCTTACAGTAAATAGGACTATTGCAAAGAATACTTTTGCTGTAACCTATTGATATTGATGAGCAAGAAAAATATGAACAATTAGGAGATAAAATTATAAATAGTTTTTGCTGGACGAAATAAAATTAAGATTAGACATTATTTTCTAGTAAGAAATATTTTCTTCCTGTAAATTATAGTATTTCGTAAATTCCTAAAAGCTTATAATAACACCATCATCTAATAAATATTTGACAACCTAACTTAGATATTGATAACCTTGTAGATACCGTAGCAACTCCCATTAAAGCAATATTTACATCCCTTGTTCATTTATTTCTAGAACGGAAAAAGACAAAAACCAAGAGAGAATTAAGAAGAAAAAAAAAATTGGCCTATTTAAAACTAAGTGAATAAATAACTTTAGCAAGAAGAATAAGACCTCTCGGTTGTTAATAAAGAAATTAACAACTTCATAATTTGTTATAGACGAGTATGCAATATTCATTGTTGATTTTCTTATTAATAGTTGAATCTACTAACTGACCTTTTTGAATAACTGCTGCTGCAATGTTCTTGTTATCATTTAATAATATGTTGTTGACCAATGACCTCATCATTAAGAAAAGATATGCTTCGTTAACAGTGGTTGTGACTTGTGATAGTAATGGTAAAACTTCTACAATTTAGCAATTCAAGCTTGAATTTGACATTATAATAAAATCTCAAGACTTCCACCAATCATACAGATATTATTCAACTTGTCACAATTCACAAAAGCCACTGAAATAATGTGTAATCAAAAGAGCAGAGAGAGACTTCCAATTCAGACCACTATCAGACACAATAACCTTTTCATTTTTAGTAAATGAGAGAACAACAATCCAGAATTGACAATAACCTCGTAACTATACTATCTCACTAGTTCCGTGAGACTGAAGGAGAAATATCTAAAGCTAGTGTATGCTATACTGAAGAATCCAAAACTGAAAAGAAAAATGGCACTTCACCAAAGAAATGGCCAAACTGAATATTCTCAACATGAAGAATCATTTTGAGACTTAGCAACAGCTTGTGCATGCCTTGCCTTTGAGTCATCAAGATAATTCTGATAGATATAAGAGGCAAAACCCCATATAGCCAAAAGCATAGAAATTATCTTCACCCCATTCATCTTATCATGAAAAACTATAACAGAAGCAATAGGAGTTACAGCTAAAGAGACAGTGCTTATAACATTGGAGTAGAGAGAAGACACTAGGAAGATCAAGCCAACAACACCAACGGAGCATACCTGCCATGCTATTGCCGTCCAAACCAAAGTCATTATATAAGCAACTTTTCCTTTCTGAAAACCCTCCATCTCTCCATGCAGAGTATTCCATTCCCCACTCGCAAATAAGCCTATGACGGCAACACAAGTGGCGACAAGTGATGTGTAGATTTGCATTTCCAAAACTACAGAAAATGTTTCCTTCTTCAGAACCTTCTCAAAGGACAGTTGCATGAGGGAAAGCAGAAGAGAGTACACTGCAGAAGCTCCAAGGGTACAAAGAAAACCAATAATGTACTTTCCCTTGGAGACACCAGATGGTTCATCTGAGTCATCATTAACAGCAAGGAGTGCAGAAGATAAAGTGAGAACCACTGTAGAGTTTATAATCAACACAGTGAACTTTTGAGCATTGATAAAATATGAGAAAACTGCATTGAAAGCTAACTGTGATGCACAAATCAACGAATAGGTAGATGCTGAGAGGTACAAGAGTCCAGTGGAGTACATCATATTATCAGCAGCAAGTATGATTCCCAGAACAAAATATATCAAAGCAAGAACAGTGATAGAAGCTGAAACAGAAGTTGAAGCCTCTTGAGGTGAAGGAATTGTAAATAATGGAATGAACAAGACTGGGAAAGCAGCAGTTTGAACTAGAGTAGCCATCCATTTACTATTTCCACCCTGATCATAGTAAAATCTTCCAAGTATAACAGCAGCAGATTGACCCACAATAAGAAAGGCTATGCAGAGTGACACTAGAAACCACCATTGCCAACGCTTATATTTATTAAATGCTATTTCAGAAATTGTTCCAGCTGAGATCATTGGTTCTTCATTATCTGTAATGTGAATCAACATTAAAAGTTAGTGTCTCCTTTAAGTATTTTAAAAGAGCCACAAGAACATCAGAAGCAAAAGTAAATGCAAAAAACACAATCCCATCTAAACTCGATACAAGTACTGGGATTTGACCCTTTTGAAGTGAATATGAGTAAAGCAAGATTTCATTCATTAATGAGAAAATCAACTATTGAAATTTCAACACATTCACGATTTGTCATACATAAGCACATAACATAACAATTGATTTTCTTATAACGACTGATATTATTCACTTTACCCTCTAGAGTGAATTGCTCACTTTAGAGGAGTTGGATTGTAAGTGCAATATTAAAACTCTGTACATTCGTATTTGAATATGGTTATATCAATATGCATGTAACATCAACCGTTGATTTTTTCATCAAGTCACTAATACTACTTACTCACTTCATCCTCTAAACAGATACTGATAAAGTGTGTTAACCAAAAGAATAATGTTCATAATGCATTTATCAACTTAGGCTTGAACCCTGACCCTTACTTGCATTGTCGGGGAAAATAGAGTCTGTATTACTTGTATAAGAAGCAAAAATAAAGAAGCACATGAATGAAGGCCAATGCTGCAGATGCTATGTCTGCCTATGGGAAACATATGAATACTAAGGATAATATAACTTCTTGCAATGAATTTGCCTTCCCATCCATCACAAAATTTCCAAACACCCCCTACCAAGAATCATGTTCGCGACATACAATAATATTTGGGTTATTAATTTTGGTGCCACAACACCAAACTGCAACAGGTTTGACCATAAAGCATTTTTTGCTATTCTACCTTTGACCCTTTTGTTTCCCTTTTAATCACAGATTTATTGCATGTTCCATTAATCATTAAAAGCCTCACTATCATTAGTAAACTGCCAAATTCACTTTATTTTTTTTATTTTCATTCTTCCCTTGTTTTGTCAAATCTTTTCTAGAGAAACATAGCCATAATGCCAAATCTTTAGTCTGCATTATATTATCCTTGGTATATAAGTTAGTATTTGAATTACTCGCTTTACAGGAATCAGATCATACAACATAAAACTCTACACATAGGTTAGTATTCGAATAAGGGTATATCAATGTTCATTCACATGGAAAATGGTATTGTATACTGATAAAGACAAAGTTAATAAAAAATTTCAAGATAGTAAACCAACTCCAACTTAATCCATTATAGATTCTCATTACATGAAATGAATAAATAATTGGCCATCAAATCAGTTTCTCTTCTTAAGTAATGGCATAAGTTGGCCCTTGAACAGTAACTTTTGAACATTTTCGATTTCAAAACATCATTGGTAAGTAAAAACATCCTAGAAGTATAACCTTAGGTTTTTCAGGGTTGTTATCTAATAAGAATTGAAGTTTCATCTCCGTAATAAAGGCTTGCAATAGATGCCAACATAGATTTTCAGGTGAAACATTAATTCTGATAAGAAAACAACACTAAAAACACTCAAATAACCGTATCTATCTATGTTTTGTCCAAAACTTAAACCAACCCAAACCCACTCATACATGCATATAATATAAACCTCAATATAGATAAAATATTTGGGAACAATCAGAAATATACAAACATGGAAGAAAAAAGGAATCTGCATACCCAGTTCCCTTAAATGAGTGAATTGAAAAAACGAAAGCAATAACAGAAAATCATGATTGAAAGAAAACCCATGTTGTATGGGGTTGGGAATTGAAAAAAATGAGATGAAAGAGGTACCGGTCATGTTGTTGAGGGGTGAGGCGGTGGCGAGAAAGAGTTAAAAGAGAGAAAGGATTTGAGGTTTGAAAAGGGTGTAAGGGAAGATGACATAACATAACACTTGACATTGGCATCATATGAATCGAATACGATTCAAAGGTCACGTGACAAGTTGGAAAAGGTGGAGCCCAACCAACTTAACAACTGTTATCTAGTGTGTTCTTCACTCGCTATGACTGCTCACACGTGTGGATACACTGTGCCATAAATCACAATTTTTTTTTTTTTTTTTAAAATGTTTGACCCGTAAATTAAGTGTAAAATTATCGACTTATTTTTACTATAAAATTTCTCATCTTATAAATTAATTTTTTAATAGTATTTTAATTTTTATTAGATAAAATTTTTGGTAAAAATGTTTGTCCTGAAAATTAAGAATAAAATTATTAACTTGTTTTTATTAAAATAAATATTATCCCCCATGTGTTATATTATATTTTATCTTATAAGTTGAACTTAATTTTTTCTTCATAATATTTAATTTTTATTAGAAAAACAAATTGGGAAAATGTTTTTGGTTGCCATATTTTAAGCACAAAATTATCAACTTGTTTTCATTAAAATAAATGTTCATAAGTATAAATTTATCAACTCGTTTTTAGTAAAATACATGTTTAACCTTCTTCTTCATAGTACTTAAATTTTAATTCAAAAAATTTGGGGAAAAAATTATCCCGTAAATTATGTATAAGATTATCAACTTGTTTTTATTAAAATAATTTTTCATCACTTGTGTTATATTATGTTTTATCTTACAACTCTCAAAAAAAAGTTTTATCTTATAAGTTAAGCCTAAAATTTTTATCATTGTATTTTAATTTTTATTAGAGAAAAATATATTTTTATCATTGTATTTTAATTTTTATTAAATTATCAACTTGTTTTATTAAAATATGTTCATCTTTTTTTATATTTATTTTATCTTATAAGCTAAGTTTAATTTTTTTTACAATATTTTAATTTTCATGATCATTAGAAAAAAATTGGTAAAAAAGTTTTTCCCGTAAATTAATTACAAAATTATGAAATCGTTTTTATTAAAATAAATGTTCATCCGTGTGTTATTTTATATTTTCTCTTTTAAGTTAAGCTTACATTTTTTTTTCTTGCATTTAATTTTTATTAAAAAATACTTTTGGTAAAAATGATTGTCACATAAATTAAGTATAAAATTATCAACTTATTTTTTTTAATAAAATTAATGTTCATCTCATAATTTAAGTTTAAACTCTTCATAATATTTTCATTTTCATAAAAAAAATTCAACACTGTTTATTATATTTTCATAGAGTTTATCATTGAAAATAAGATTTAAACAAATTATTAAAACATGCATTTATACTATTAAGACAACATTAGACATAATGTGAAAACATATTAACTTTTTTCTTTTTCACAAACATCGTAGTTCACAGGTCTTCTGTTTTTCACTTTCATTTACTAGTTTTATAATTTACATTTTTATTTTGTTAAACTTTAAACCATTAAATGTATATATAAATTTCAAAGAAAAATGAATGATACAGTAATAGGGATTATATTACTAAAGTAAGCTTCTCTCTACATTAATAGATTTATGTTCAAAGTGAACCTATTATTTGATTTGGATTGTTCCTAAAGTTGAGAAGATCACCAAGGTTTACAAGCCCTAAATTAGCTTGTGTATTGTTGATTTATCTCATATGAGATAAATAAATAGTTGCTGGTAAAATAAGATCCACACAACCACACCAAGAAATGATAAGTGCAGATTTCTTCTTTCATGGCTGTGTCATACCAATACTTTAGAAATTGCACAAAGAGTGAAATATGGATATATAGCATTTCGGGATTTTGAATTATCTAATCCAATTTTTTTTAAGATTCTTTGATTGGTCATCTCAAAACAAAAGTAACATGTGATTATTATTATTATTATTTTTTGCTTGCTCTAATTGATCAATTCATTAGTTGTCCACAATTAAATACATGAAAAATTTTAATTTTGCTATTTAAAATTGCAATAAAGTGCATTATATTACTCTTCTCATTAAGCTCTATTATGCATAAAGTGTATTATATTAACATCAGACCTCACTATTTAACATTAGTAAGCTGTGTTACACTTTGTGGATGCGTTTTTCCAAAATTTTCCATTTCTATGAGCCAAATTTTCCATTTCACTCACTTTTACTCAAAGAAATTATTCAAATTTATCTGTTTTAGAAGAAAAAAAATGAATAAAATATTGTCTCAACCAACTCTCGACCCTTTTTTATAACTTTTTCGAATTACTTTTTTCACAAAACTTCTCTTCTCCCAACAATTATACAAGAAAAAGGCAATATTTTTGAATTTGATAAAAGTAATTTGAAAAGGTCAGCAAAAAAGGGCTGAGAGTTAGCTCGGACAATATTTTATTCAATTCTTTCTAAAATAGATAAATTTTGAATAGTTTCTTTAAGCGAGAGTGGTTGAAAGTTTGACACGTGACAATAAGTTTCGTTTGTGCTTCCTTTAATTATTTATAATATAGATTACTTTCATTTTTTTAACTTTCCATTTTTTAAGACTCGATTAGATATTGATTAAATTTGTTTTTCATTAGATACATAAGTAACTCATGCATATATATACGGGAGGCTATTATTGATATATATATATATATATATATATATTTATTTATTTATTTGT